AGTGGTCTGACTCAGCTGCCTCCTCTGTAACATAGGAATAATAATAGTACCCTCCATCCTAGGTTTGTGATTAAGGAAGTTAATACATGTAAAGCATTTTAGAACAGTGCCTGGGACATGGTAAATGCTCAGTAAATGTTAGGTCTTATCTGTGTCAGGGAGGAGCAGGATGAAAGCCCAGGAGATAGACTGTGGGCAAATTAGGGAAAAAGGGAAGGCTCAGATGGCTGGGTAAGGGGTTGGGTTGCAAGGTTTTGAGTAGAGGAGTATACTCATGCACAGAAAGATGTCAATGAGAGCCAGGGTGTCAGGGAACAGGAATCTATTCCCACTCATCCAACCAGTGATATAACTAAGCAAATCCCATGCCACCATTAGGAGTCTGTTGTCTAAGGCCCCTTCCAAAATTCACATTGCAAAGTGATGCGGGTAGGCTCTGGTGGAGACAGTGACCATGGGGAGGGGGGAAAGGAAGGTGGTGACTACTTGATGCTTGCCTTGGTAATGAGAGAACAGATGAAAGAAGACATCAGAGAAGATTCCAGAGTTTAAGTCACAATAGGGAGGGTGCAGCTGGGTGCAGTGGTGCATGCCTGTCATTCTAGTGACTCAGGAGGCTGAGGCAAGAGGATCACAAGTTCAAGACCAGCCTCAGCAACTTAGTGAGGCCCTATGTAATTTAGTAAGACCCTGTCTCAAAATAAAAAAAATAAAAAGGGCTGGATGTAGCTCAGTGTTTAAGCACCCCTGGTTTTAATCCCTGGTACATAAAAGAAAAAAAGAGGGCTGGGGGTATAGCTCAGTTGGTAGAGTGCTTACCTTGCATGCATAAAGCCCTGGGTTCAATCCCTAGCAACACACGCACACACATACACACACACAAAAAAAGAAAGAAATGTAGACATAGATTTTTGGGAATGATTTGAAGGGCAATTGAAAGCCATGAGAATGGATGCCGCTAGATCTTCAGTGTGACTTTGGGTGATCTGTCTCTACCTCTAATGACTTCTGGTCTAAAATATAACCTTGATGGCTGAAAGAAGTGTTAGTGCAAAGTCAGGGTGGTGAAAATAAATCCTGGAACCAATATAAATGGAAATTTGTGGCAGCTCCTTAGAGGTCTGGAGAGTAATAAACAGGGTGACTTAAAGGAAATGTTCACAGGAGATCCTGATTTCAAAGCATCTTCAGAGGAAGGTTGTAGCTTTGTCCCTAGACTCTGCATTAGTTTCAGGCCTTGGCTCTGGCTCTGGCAGGAAGCCAGCCCACTTCCCCTCCAGATTGCCCTGTCACTATAGTTTTTTTGTTGTTGTTGTTCTCCCCATTCTTCTCTTCTTTAGGGGGCTTCTGGAAACCTTAAAAATCATCCCCGATATCTTGTCACTGTCCAGTTGTCACTCATTCCTTCTCCTGCCCCCTGGAGTTAAAAAATACATTGTATAGGGGCTGAGGTTGTAGCACAGCGAAGGAACACTCGCCTAGCACGTGAGAGGCCCTGGGTTTGATCCTCAGCAAAACATAAAAGTAAATAAATAAAATAAAGGTATTATGTTCAACTACAACTAAAAAATAAATACTAATTAAAAAATACATTGTACAGCTGTGCGCATTGGCACACACCTGTAATCCAGCCACCTCAGTAGGCTAAGGCAGGAGCACAGTGAGTTCAAAGCCAGCCTCAGCAAAAGTGAGGCACTAAGCAACTCAGTGAACCCCGTCTCTAAATAAAATACAAAATAGGGCTTGGGGATGTAGCTCAGTGATTTAGTGCCCCTGAGTTCAATCCCCGGTACCGCCCCCCCCCCCCAAAAAAAAAAACAACAACATTGTATAGTTTAAGTGTGTCAAGTAAAAAATGTTGGCTTTGAAATACAATTGCATTAGGTTGCATTTTGTATTTTGTTTAGTTTTATTTTGTGTCTGTGTGTGTGTGTGCCAGGGGTTGAACCCAGAGCCACAGCCCCAGGCAATTTTATTTTTTATTTTGAGACAGAGTCTCACTAAGTTGCTTAGGGCCTCACTAAATTGCTGAGACTAGTTTCGAACTTACATTCCTCCTGCCTCAGCCTCCTAAACCACTGGGATTATAGGTGTGTGCCACCGTATTGGGCTTGTTTAATTTTATAATTAAGAGCCAAGACTTGGGAGCTGACATGAACATGAATGATTGTGAGATTTCAAGTAAACTGGTGGCCCTCGGTTCATTGGGGACTACAGTTCTCATCTTCAGTCTGAGGATGGGCAAGCATGCTGCAATGGAAACTAAGGTTAGAAAGAATGCAGTGGTGGTGGTGATGGAGGCAGTGGCTCGTGATGACAGTACTGGCAGCCACAAATTCCCAAAGCAATTGGCAAGAATGCCAAAAAAGTCCCTGGAATAGTAGGACAAGATCTATTTTACAACTTCTCTAAGATGGGGATTTCCAAGGATCTAGTGCTAATGGGAAGTCTTGGCCATACTAGGCAACTAACTCATTCATGCAACCATCATTTACTGAGCAATAAGCTCAGATTCCCAGGGCCAGGACAGGTGGAGACATCAGCAATAAATATTATTATATATAATACTCTCTGTCACAGGACTGAATACTAGGAGGATGAAAGGGAATCCTTGCATCCTGACAATCCGGAAGGGAATTCCACCTTGGGGGGAGTCTTGAGCCAAAGTCCGCTGCTCCCAAAAAGCACACACTTTTCCCACCTAACTCTTCCTTCACATATCATACTTTAAGAACTGGCCTCTCTGGACATAGCCCCCTTTTCCCAGGTCTTGTTGCTTTCTTATACCTGAGCCTAATCCTGGTCTCAAGTCCTTTCCTTGAATCATAGAGATTAAACTCCATAAGTGTTCCCCATTGTCTCCCAGCTCTAATCCCCCCACATACTTTTCCACCCAAGCTTTTTTCAAGCTTTGTCAGCTCTTAGCTGAGTCTAGTTCAGTTTAGAGAACATTTTCATTTTGGTTCTTCCAGGCATTAGGCCAAGTGACCCCACTCAATGCTGATGAAGACTCACTGACCTAAGCACAGGAAGTTCTGGGAGGTGAAGGACATTTCTGGTAAATCCTTTCTCTTTTGTCCCTGACCCTGGGACAACCTATTGAGTCCATAGTCCAACCGGGAACGTAGAAAGGAGGTAGGAGAACTAGGTGACACTATCTCTAACCAGTTGCAGAACCTAGGTCAAATTACTTTCTGGGCCTGTTTTCTTCTTTATAAAATGATCCTGAAGGCTCCCTTCAATTTTGATTGTTTATGATTCACTGTGATTGTTTAGGATACTATGCACCTGTGTTGGTTTTAGGACAGTCTGGGAAATCTGATGCACTTCTCAAAGTCCTCTCTCATGCCATGTACAGTAAAGGAAGTTTACCTTCCAGGGTTAGCTTAGAGGTACAGCTTATTTTAAAAATGAAGCTCTACTTCTGATTCAACAGTAGATCTAAGTGTCTGGTTGGACTTGAATCTGCTCCAAATTTCCAGGAGACAGGAAGCATAATGATGTGTAATTATTTAAGACCTAGACCCTCATTCTTCCAGAGAAGAGCTGAGAACAACCTGCTTACAGAGGTGTGCATAGGGAGAGCATATCAGGGGTTTCGCCGATGTTATGTGGAGGGGAGGCCTGGGATTCTACATATGAAACTTTGGGGAAAGAGTAGATGGGGGATTCGGGGAGAGTGAGAGGGAGGTCAGGGAAACTACAAACTACCAAAGGCAGGAACTGAATTTAGGAATCAATGGCGGAAGTAGTGGGTGAAGGGAGAACACAAAGGACACAAACTGCTGATAGTCTTATGCTGGGGAAGGCACTTTGGGATAGTACAACCCCAGCTCATTGTAAATACAGGAGGCAAGTTGTTCCCCTGTCCCAGATGTTCCAGTCCCATACCAGCTCCTGTAGAGTTTTCTTTGGCTCAGGGAAGCATAGGCCTCCCCTGAGCCCTGGCCCCCCTCTACCGCAAAGCAACTGGCTTCCATTACCCCTGACAGCTCCAGAGCAACAGCCGGCCCCGGCCCGGCTGGCTCCATGCCGTTCCCTTTTATGGTGAAGCCGAGAGAAAGCCAGGAGTAGGTGGGGGTGGAGAAGAAGGTTCTAGCTGGGCAGAGGGTTGTAGAGCTAGGCTGCAGCTCCCCTCACAAGAGACCTTGGGCCGTCTACCACAGCTACCTCTCTTTTCTCTGCCCTGAACCCACGATCCCTCTGGCTTGTCCCAGCCCTTCCTCCCCTACCCCCTCCCTCACATCCGGGGGGTGATTTCCCACTTGGCGGAGGTCCCACAGCTTGGGTTTTGATTCCGGGAGGGTCCGCCCTATTTTCTACGCCCACCTCCAGGAGTGGGGTGGAAGTAGGGACCTGGAGAAGACAGGCTCTGTTCAGATTACAGGCAGCTCGGTCTCCTAGGTAGGATGTGGGTCAGAAAGGTTGACAGCAGCAGCCGCATTCCTGTTCCCCTTCTGCACTTCTGCATCGCCGCCTCCCAACCAGTCCCCGCCGCCCAAGCCAGGGAGAGGACCGTGAGGGCAGGACCCAAAGGAAGCACCTGGCTGGGCCGGGCCGGGAAATGAAGGGTGGGCAGCAGTGCGGGGGGCCGGGGCAGGAAAGTGGGCCAGAGCTTGCGGGTCAAGCTAAGTCTCCCGCCCGGCCCCGCAGCCGCACCCTCGCCCTAATACACTCCTCGGCTCCAGGGAGGCGGCCACCACAGCTTTGCTAACCACGAGCCCGACCACCCCAGCTGCGGCCAGCTGTGCCACTAAAGCACGAGGCACGCTTCCGCGGCCCCGCCCACAAGCACAGCTGTCAGTCCCACTGCTGCTCCGCCCCCTGCGCGCGCAGAGGGAGCAGACGAGACCGCGGGGCTAGAGAGGTCGTTCCAGCTCGCAGCCTGGCGGAAGTACCTGCTTGGGCTGCAGCTTACGCTACGAAGTTCCGGTCCAAGTCTCCTACCTCCAGCTGGTACGCAGGCAGCGTCGGAGCGGAGTCGAGCTGGTCAGGTGAGAGGCATGCAGGCGCTGTCTCACGGGCCAGCCCCAAGTTGGCTGGGTCGCGGGGGCCCAGACGTGCCCTAGAGAGCGCGAGAAGCGTGCGGACCCGAGGCTCAGTCCCTCCCCTTCTCCGCAGGATGATCACAGACGTTCAGCTCGCCATCTTCGCCAACATGCTGGGCGTGTCGCTATTCTTGCTTGTGGTTCTCTATCACTACGTGGCCGTCAACAATCCCAAGAAGCAGGAATGAAAGTGGCGCTTTCTCCGCCCCAGGTAACGGTCGGGGCTGTAGCGCCCAGCCCCCAGAGAGCTGAGTGGAGAGGACCGCATTAGGGCCTGCAAGGTTCGAAACTTTAAATCCGAAAGTGTCGGGCCAAGCATGAGACAGTCCAGAATTGAGCCCCTTTATCCGCAGAGTACAGTGCTTTGCAGTGCCCTGCTCCTTCCTCCTAAACTTCTCCCTGCGAGGATAGGATAGGATGGGGTGGGGTGGGGGTATATCCCAATCTTCCTCTGTCCCTATCTTCTTGGGTTTTCCAGTAGCAAGTTGCCCAAGTTGGGGGTATTGGAGGCACTGGCAACGGTAGAAGCAAAGGTGCCATGAGGATAAGCGTTCTTAAATAGCCGCCACTTTTCCAGGGTTGTTTAGGCTTCTTATTTAGGTAGAATTTTTTTTTTTTTTTTGAGCGGGTGAAAAATGTAGACTTCTATTTCCATATTCTTAAGCCAGAGTCATTGGTTTAGGGGTTGGGTACTGTAGACCCAAGCTAGAAAGAAGAAAGTGGGGGTGGGGAGCTTGGGAACCAACCTTAAGTTTGGGTCAGAGATGTAAAGGGGAACAGGTTCACTGGGAGTTGCCTCCAGGATTCCCAGGGGAAAGCTGCAGCATTTTCCTTACCTCAGGTCTTTCCCCCTCTTTTCTAGGGTTCCAGGACATAGTCTGAGGCAAGATGGAGGGTGTGAGGGGCCTTCACACTTCACTTCATCCCTTCTACCCATCACAACATACAAAGAAACTACACCTGGATTTTTCCAAACAACTTTTATTTCCTCAAAGTCTTCCTTAACCCTATGGAACAAGAAGCTGCCACTGAATAGGGCCCAGTATAGGGGCTGCTTTTCTACTCCCTCCCCTCCCCCCAATACAAAAATATAGATATATATTTTTTGTGGTCCCGAAATCTTGTGCTGTGGAGGGAGGGAAGGGGTACAGGTCCCTGTTTTGTCCCGTCTCAAGGTAATGCTCTGCAAGGCCTCAGATAGTGGCTGGCATTCCAAAGAGTTATGTTGTAACATGGAATCTGCAGCCCAAGGAGGGGACTATCATATTTCTCACTGTGTTCCCCCACTTTGGGACCGTATCCTGGGCATGGAAGTAAAGGCATTATCAAACCCGGGGAGAAACGGTGAGTGGGGGAGATTTAGGGACAAAACAAACCTCAGGCTGGCCCAAGGGCCCCCTGCTGTAACAAATCCGGGATGGGACATCAGATAGAGTACAGGAAATAGGAGAAAAGGCAGGGGCAGAGCGGGGCCGTGGGGGGCCGGCCTGAGGCATCCTGCAACAGAAAAGAGAGAAGAATCAAGGTTATGGTCTGTTAGCCAGAGGCTGGTAGCTTTAAGAGAAGAGAGGCAGGTTGATGGCTGTACAGAGGTCACATGCTGGAACCTGCTAGCTAGCTCCTAGGCCTTAAGACCCTAACTATCAGTTGTTTTCTAGTCCTTTTAAATAAACACTGGGGTCATGATAGAATAAAAATCAGGGACTAGATGCTTAATGAAAGCACATTCAGTCTTTGGGGTTAAAGGGAGTAGGGAAGGATGAAAATGATCTGGAATGGTAGAAATGAAGATGAGGGGATAGAAGAAATGAGGGAAGGGCTGAGAGAACTGGGTCTAGGTGCTCACCCTGGTATAGCAGGACGGGGTCCCGGCTCTGGCTCACTGCTTTCTCTGGTCCTGGAGATAGGGGATGTGGGGCCTGAAGAGCCTCTTATCCCTCTGCAAGTCGGCGGTGAGCCCCGGCCCAACCTGGGCCTAGCCTGTGTAGACAGGATTAGGCTAAGAGGCTGGGTTCTTCCATGAGCTTTTCTGCTTCTAGGTTTGCCTCTTGAGTTTCCATGCATAAGAGTCTAGTATAGGAGTCAACAGAGGTAGTAGAGCCTTGAATTCCTGGGCATTGTTTCTAGTTGAGAGGATGAGGCAAGATAACAGAACTCCTAGTTTCAGTCCATGACTATGTACTTCAAGTCTTACGTAACTAGCACAAAGGTGGCAGAAGGACCTAGCATTTAGCCTTCATGGGTATACCATGGCCAAGGCCTGCCTGAGTAGAAAAGCACTGTGTAGAAATATGACGGACTGGTAGACCTCCTTCAGGTCCTTCTAGGCCTCAGCCCCTGCCAGAGCAGCTTAAGCTTCACCCATCCAGTCAGCTTCTGCCTGTACCCAACTTTAGCTAAACTAATATGGGGATCTGGACTGACTTGGAAGTGGTGGCAAGGCTGTTCCTAGGAGCAGCAACCAAATGTGTTACCTGGGGAATCCGGGACCCCTCCTGGCGGAAACTCTCCTCGGGCAGGTCTGGGCAGAAAGAGAGGAGAAGCTAAGGGCAGGGGGCAGGGAAAGCCAAAGCTAGCAGGCTGAGGTTGGGGTGCATCTGGCAGGGACAGTGGGGTTGGAAGCAAGCAAGACACCTGGCTGATGGGGATTGGGGTGGGGCCGGGCAGATAAGCACTCAGGCACCAGAGCAGCTGTATGATATGGCTGGAAGTAGAGGCTGTAAAGCAGGGCTGAGCATTTTCCCTCCCACTGCCCCGATGAACAGTGCCTTGATGGGTTCTGCCAGACTTCTTATGATGGGGACCAGAGAAAATGTTACCTGCAATCGAGTCCTGATGCAGGGGATCCGAGCGCCAGCCCCTAGCAGACCTTTCCCAATCACCATGACAGCCTCTGGCTTGTCCCCTGAAGATAAGAGTGAGCAGCTGCTCCCTAAAGAACAGAGGAAACTGATCATCAAGGTAGGGGCTATAAAGAAAGGAGGTAATTTCCTTTAGATCAGTTTCTCAACTTTGGCAGTGTGTGTGTGTGTGTGTGTACGTACGTGTGTGTACACGCGCGCTTTTAGTGCTGGGGATTGAACCTAGGACTTTGTGCATGCTAAGGTAGAACTCTACTGCTGAGCTGTACCCCCAGCTCCCAATCTTCCACTATTGACATTTTGTGTTGGGTAATCCTTTGTTGTAGGAGCTCTTTTGCACATTGTAGGATGATGAGCAGCGTCTACTATATGCAGTTTCCTCCCCAGGCCGCCTCCATTGTTACAACCAAAAAAGTCTCCATGTGTTGCTGGGCAAGATCACCCTTGAGTGAAGCTTCACTCTGGTCCAAGAGGGAGAGCAGAGAACTTTTGACTAGAAGTAGAATCTACTCAAATTTAAGTACTATATAAATTTATAGACCTTGGGGCCACTCCAATCATATATTTAGGCATTTGAGGATCAAGTCCACTCTATCCAAGACCTGGATTGAGGGCTACCCATTGAATTGACAGGTTGGGAGTAGTGGCTCAGGGTAAGGCAGAAATCAATCCCATCCAGTCCTTTACACATCTGGGTCTATAGCTTAAAAGGAGAGTAGATGGCTTAAGTTTTCTGTGGATGATAGGCCACTGCAGTGATGACAGGTGAAAGGCCTATGCTTTTTTTCTTCTCCAGTTTTGTCTTAATGTTGCCCAGCTTCTGGAATCGGGGAACTTGGGTAAGTGGCACTTTGCAGGTAGGAAAAGTCCTCAGGTTCCTCAACTATAAAAATGAGGATTAAATTAGATAGTGTGTATAGCAGTGCCTGGCACAATGTAAACATTCAATAAATGTTATTTTATTTTACAAAGACGACATTTCAGTAAGTCCCAGCCTCCTGTACAAAGGCACAGGTTTAGAGATTTAGGGTACCAGGAGGATAACTGGTGCTCTTGGCTGGAGTGCCTTGTATTATATCAGGTCAAGGGAGCCCAAGTTAGGTGGCAGTGTGGCTGAAGGAATTTCTTCAAGCTTAACTGGGTGCCTGGTCTAAACCCTGGGTGGTAGGGAAGGGAAGAAGCTGGCCAATCCAGATTTCAGTGGCAGTGGGTACAGACCTGATAGACTGAGTGAATTGGGCAGGAGGCAGGAGCCCAGGTTGCGTGAGGAGGCTGGGCCAGTACTAGCAGGAGTCGGGGATGGGGCCAGGCTGCTTGCAGGAGGTCGATGGTTCAGTGGCTGTTGCCTCCGTCTCCTGTCCTGGCTTCGGGGCTCTGAGTGGAAAGGACACAAGCAGGTTAGTCACGCACTATTAGCTAGCCTTCACTGACCTGCTGGCTCCCCTTGGTCAGAATTTGTGTTTGTAAGCTTGTCATCAGACCAGCACCCTTCTTCAGAAGTAACTATACAATGGGTAGAAAGACCTCTAGAATTTATTTTCAGTTATTCATTTCTTGGTCTTCATCTTACCAATTCATTCTTTTGGCAGGAAATTATTGAATTTGGCTTCTAAAACTACTTTCCTAGGTTCTCCTCTTACCTCTAACTGCTCCTCTTCAATTGATCTTCCTGCCTCTTAAATGTCCATGTTCCCTACCATTCTGTCCTTAGGTCTCTCTTGTTCTACTTACTCTTATATTCCCAAATTTCTTTCTAGCTCTTTCTCCTGAAATCCAGCTGTACTTGTCCACTGGACATTTCTACCTGGAAGTCCCCTATGACCAAACCAAAACAGTTTCTCCCTCCCTCATTCTTCTTATCTTGGTGAAAAACCTAGAAACCCTGTTTTATCTTTCTACTCCTCCTTTACATTTAGGTTTGTATTTAGTCAAATCCTGATAGTTCTACCTCTGCATTCATCTGAATTCCTCCTTTCTTCTCCCTTACCATTGTCTAGATACATACAGATCTTTAATTTCCACTCAAATTTTATTTCCCTATTGGTTTCCTCAGCTTGAATATCTTTCTTTTTACCATCCATCCTTCACATAGGTACCACAAATTACTTTTCTAAAACAGAGACCTGGTCAGAAATCACTGTGGCTTAGGCAAGGGGAAGTACTGAATGTCTTTTAAAGGATAAAGTCTAAACCTTTTTACATGGCCCATTCAAAACTCTGCCCAGTGTTGTTCCAATCCACATATCCTTCGTACAATGCTGACCATCTGATCTCTTATACCCTTTGCTATAGCTCCTGCTGCTACTATTTGTGTAGTTCCTCTAGAATTTCTTTCCCTTTCTAGTGAAACCGACCATCTTCCCTGTCCCATCTCAAATGTTGTCTCTGTGAGGCTCCTTGACAATTAGAGAGTTAAAACTAATTGTTCATTGTCCTTTGTTCAATGGCTAGTTGTTCATGGATTCATCATCGCTTGGAGTTTAAAAAATACATTTATACTCTGGGGCAGCCCTTCCTAAGGCTGGATCCTTACTGCTATCTGTTCTGAAGGGTAAGGTCCCAGTGGGACAGATGGAGAATGGATGGAGTAGGAGGCTTGCAGATTCAGTAGGTACTTCCTCATCACAGAGGGAAAACTGGTGCCAAATACTTTTTTTTTTTTTTTGGTAGTAATGGAGGTTGAACCCAGGGCCTGGCACATGTTAGGCAAGCATTTCACCACTGAGCCATATCTCCAGCCTCCCAGGCCCCCAGTACTCTTGAACTTCCAGAACCAAGTTTGGTGAGTTACCAGCATGCCAGTGCCCTAACACGTGTTGGGTGTGAAAAGCCTCTGATATAGGAAGTAGGCGACCTCAGCTTCATCTTGTCTAGCTGCAGTAAGCAATAGTAACAGGCAGTATCATGAATACTTCTGAAAGTTTTCCAGATTAAAAAAAGAAGAAGGGCTGGGGTTGTGTGGCTCAGCGGTAGAGCACTTACCTAGAGTGTGTGAGGCCCTAGGTTTGATTCTTAGCACTACACAAAAACAAATAAAATGAAGTTACTGTGTCCAACTACAACTAAAAAATAAATAGAAGAATTAAAAAAAAGCACAAAGATCTCAGAATGGAAATCATTCTAGCTATGTGAAGTTTTGCTGAGGCACTAGGTGCCAATTAAGATTCAAGGTGCGTACTCATATAAGAGTCAAAAACAACCAGACCTTAGAGGCCTGTTTGAGAGTTGGCACAGAGTTAC